GCATTTATTCATCTTGTTTTCTTTTGAATCTGCTATTTTATTTTCATTGACAAATTGTTTGCAGAGTTTCTCACTTTAAAACATTTTTGTTATGTTTCACATTTTAAATAATCTCCCAGATTTGCATTGTTATTAACTATCTTACTAATCACTCTAGACCATGGTTGCCAAGGGATCTAGGAATGGTGCTGGCTTGGGTAATCTGTGTAGATCCCTTGCTCTTCTGGAAAGTAGAAAGCACAAGATTTGTTTCAGGTTTCTTTTCAGCAAGGTACACTGAGTTTTTCTGATTCTGCTTTAGAAAAACACTGTGCGTGTGTGTCTGTGTGTTTTATTTCACCATTTACCTATGTTAAACAGAATTATCCATTTGGGACTCAGTTGTCACCAGTTAGAAAATACAGCTCAATGAGTGGTGTAATCTCAAAGAATATTAATTTCCCCTTCTTCCCTGACCTAATGCTTATCTAATACTACTCAAATATTTCAAGACAAGATATGTTTTTAAAAATCATCCTTTGCATGCATTTTGTTAGAAGGAGAATAACTTTTAATTATATGGAAACTGAGGAAGAGAGAGAGCAAATGGATGACAGTAGTTATCTTAACACACATAGGGAACTTACTTCCTATATGATATCCTATAAAATGGCAAAAACAAAACAAAGTATTTTTAAGTAAGAATGAATTCAAAACAGAGAGAGGAGTAAAATGCATGCTACCAACAGACTAGAAATGTTACATGATTCCAGAAAAAATAGAAAATAAATAGGATCAAATCTACAGGGTTATCAAAATGAAGGAAACACAAGGTCAACACAGGCAAAAGATCACGGCGTTGGAAAGAAATCTGGGAAAACCTTGAACACAGTGAGAAGCCAAATGTATTCTTCTGAGAAGTTATAGATTGAGGAGCAGTAGAGACAGCAAGGCCAATCAGCACCACTCCCCTCCCTGATCTGTACTAAACAGCAGGTAGCAAAAGTGCTTATCCATGGCTAAGGCAATGTGTGGGCACCTGAAAGCAATGCTCCGGGAGGACGAGGAGCTGCCGCCGCACCGTCTTGGGGAGCTGCCGCACATGGAGCAGGTCTCTAGCATCACATTAGGCCTCCCGGTATCACTGCCAGAACAAAAGGCAAGTGAGAGAAACTCATGACACCAAAAGTAGCAGTACATGGGTTATTCAACATTTCAAGGAAACCAGTACCATTATACTGAAGAAATATGGTTAGCAGCATAGCAGGTCAGGACTTAATCATAAAAATTAAATCTCCGAGACTATATTACATATTCAGATACTCAGAGACTGAAATAAAAATTTCATCATGAAACTAAAAAAAAGTAGATACTTGATAGAGAACATAACTACAAAACAAAACAGTGAACAGGAGGATATATTTAATAGAGACAAGAGAGGTATGAGGTAGTCAGAGAGGTGAAAACCGCAACTGTGTTAAGCTTTTAAAACTATACCTGGGAAAGATACAGGCAACCATTTATTCTTGAGATTGACAAAAATCTAACTTTAAGTGAAATTGTTAAATTAGGGAAAATCAAAAAGAAAAATTTTGAATATGTAATCTTCAAATCAGTAGACTTTAAAAAATGTACAATGTAAACTTAATCATCAAAGGTAAATAAAACAATAAAAAAGAAAATACATAAGTTTTAAATTTCTATAAACAGAACAAATAAAATGTATTAGTGATCATAAATATAAATGAATTGAACTTCCCCATTAAAAAAGGAAAAGCCTTTCAGGTTGGATTAATAACAGAATAAAACCAACTCAAATTGCTCATGAGACACATTTAAATGGAAAAAGTATAGATAAATGGAAAAAATACATGAGAAAAATAATAAAGATGGCATGCCAGTATAAATATCTAGTAAAATGAAATTCAAGTAGAAAAAGGAGTAAAGGAGACAAGATATTTTATTATTCAGGATTCTCCAGAAGAGTAGGATTGATAGGCAATATATGTTTACTTGTATAGTTATGCAGAGGGATTTACTAGATAAGCGTATGGGATCAGAGGCTGGGTGGTCCAGCAATGCCCATTTATACTCTTGGGAGCTAGTGGGTCCACAGGTGCTTAAGCCAAGAAGCTGGAACCCAGAACAACAGGGGATTGAGGATATGGTGTCAGACTGAGAGGTAGGACCTGGAAGAGCCCTAGAGATTTACAGCGGAGTATTAAAAAGCTGTATTAAAAGGCTGAAGAAACTGAAACCTGATGTTCACAGTGATGGCAGTAGGAAAAGACACAGCCACTGAAGCAAATGGAGCTTTTCAAATGCAGGCCAATTTCTGGCTTCTTTTCATTCTATCTGGGCTGCAAGCCTATTGCACATTGCTACACACAATCAGGGCAGGTCTTCCCTCCTCCCTTGGTGGCTTCCATGCCAATCATCTCCAGAGGCACATCCAGAAGGGCTCTTCACTAATCTCCTCAGAGCATCTTAATCTAGCCAAGTTGACAATCACAAGTTAACCCTCACAAATATATTTAGCATCAAAATATAAGCATTAAAATTATAAATATAGCATTAAAATTATATTAAAATTATAATTCAAGTATAAATGTATCATTATTACTATGAACACACTTATATAAAATATAGGTTAGAAATACATAAATAGAAAACAGACGACCCACAGGATTAAACTGTCAAATCCAGAATTATAGTACTGGATTAATGGTTGACAAAAAGAAAATCTTTGTAAAAAGTTGGTACACTGAAACAATTTTCTTTTATTTTAAGGGACCAACTAAGAACAATTTTCAGGAAGTTAGTATTTTGATAAAAAATTATTGAACTGATGTATGTATTTATTTTCCCCTGAGCATTTAAATAAAATAACATTATTACTTTTCACATTCTTGCATGAGGTCCTGTATAATATCAAAACCTAAATTGATTAAAAAATTATCTTCTGGATATTTCTATAAAGGTTTATTTTCTCTAACAATTATTCTTATTGTGAAATTACAGATGATATAAAACATTGCATTTTATTACTATTCATCAATAATTAAAGTTCAAAGGTATTAAGATCCTATTTCTAAATAGCTAGATATCATGTTGTTCCTATCCACAGTATGCATTTTAAGTTCACTAATTTGCAGTAAGGAAGCCCTGCCTATGAAAGAAATGCTTTGGAGAAATAATTTAGCAATTAATAAGAAATGGTTATAAGAATTCCTAAGAGGTCTTGGGAAGACACTGCTGTAAAATCCCTAAACTGGAGAAGTCCAGCACACACACACACACACACAAAGTGAAATTAACTAGCATTTCAATCTTAAGCAGAAAAGAGAAAAAGAAATTCAGATCGAACACCAACCATCTATACCTTTCAGCATCAAAGAAAGAAATGACAAGTCAGAAAGATCCACGCTTTGGGATATGTTTGTTTATAATGTATGTATTTGGGATTTATATGGGGAAATGGGGTGCGCAGATGAGTATACCAACAGTACCACTCTGAGGAGATGCTGTGCTGGCAGCCAGCACCAAGGGATATCACAGAGGATGCTGACCCTTCTTCCAGCTCCTTCTCTACCACTGCAGATCCCTGGTCCCCACATCCTTCTTTCAGGACCAACACCATCCGATGCTTGCTCCCTTGATGTGTCCTCTGGCCCAGCTTCCAATATGACCCCTTAAGAAATTCTTCTTTATTCTCTTTTGGGTGTAGGCACCCTATTCAGCTATTTGTTTGGAGAAAAACAGTGACTCACAATAATTCACATTAACAAATAAAAGCTCTTACTATTCTTATGAGACATTTCTACTTTTAAACAAGTAGAGGTGATAGATATAAAATGCTAGACAGAGAATAAAGTTTTAATGAAAGTCATTCTCTTTACCCATCTCTAATCCTTTCCTTTATGAAGTTTTCCAGAAGTATTACTAAATCACGGCAAGGTGTGCACTGATCCCTGCTCTATATTCTCTTAACTTGGAGGCTGGTGGAAAAACTGTGCAGGTGGTTAGGTTGGACAGCCATGACTCTCACCAATCTTTTAGCAAGCCACACTTAATGATTGATGATTGGCAATAATTTCGCCATCATTTTTCCAATGAATCCTACTTCAAGGTGGAATTAATGGCAACCTGCCATATGAATTGAAAGACTCCTGGAGAACTTTCAAAGGTTTCTTAATGGCATCATGACGATTCTGCTACTCCTAAATTCAGCGCAACATAGTCCCTGTCTCAGGCAATCCACAAAGCTTTACTAAGTGCTGGCTCTATGCCAGCTCTTGGCTTCGTATAAGTTTTGAGTTAGTCACCAGAGATGTTCAGAGAGCAGAATTCGTCAAGGCAAGACTGTCAAAGCTGAGTTCTGTTTTGTGAAAAGTGCTACCAGTTTTGGACGGAAGTTTCCTTGCTTCCTATCCTTGCTACCTAACTGTAGCACAGCTATTTCAGAGGCGGCGTGGTCTGTATTCAGGGGCTGAATTAGCCTCGTAGTCGTCATGGGGGCATCTTCAACTGTGCACAAAGGACACCTGTGCTGTTGACTAATAAATGCAGCGCAGGCCCATGAAAATAAAAATAAGTGTTCTGAACAATGCTGAGGACAAACAAGCTTACAGTGGTCGATAGTGCCTTAGTTTAACTCATTTTTTAAATTATTCTTAAAACTCCAAAGCATGAGGGGGATGGATAGTTTTATCCACCAGAAATGGGACCTGAACTTCAAAGAGACATAATCCAGTCCCTCAAACCAGGGCTAGGATATAGACATTCTCCCAAGCGTCTAGAAGAAGTTTGGATTAAACAAATACCAAAACCCCTACTTTATTTCCAAATCCAAGAGATCCCAAAAGGAGCCCAACAAGGGCAAGACAAATCCAGGAAGGTTTTTTTGAGGGGTGCTGTTTTCCAAGTGCACTCAGCTGTATCCTCCCCTCCCCACCCCTCCTCAGCTCCTCCATCACCCCGTGCAGTTGTTGGACTCGCCCGAACTCCCACACAGTCACGTAGTCCTCCAAAGGGGCGCGTCCTGTGTGGACACCGTCTTCAGATCTGCGTCTCTGCCTCCTCCCTCCACCCCGCCTGCTCTCTGCGCTACAAGTAGCCCGGGGTCCCAGAACTTCCCCACGTTCCCCGCCGAACGCCGGGGAGAGTTTTCCGCTGCCAGATGCCCGCGGCCCAGATCTTGGCCCCGCAGGGAGCTCGGAATCCGAGCGGACAGGGCGCGCACCGATCCTGCCCACTGCTTCGCTGACCGCGCGCGCTCTCGCCGCAGGTGACTGCGGGTGGGGAGCTGCTGCACTAGGTGGCACCCACGTGGACCCAATGAAGCGCAGCCTGGGGAAGATGCTTCGCATTGGGGAGAAGGAGCCCCAGGGCGTGGTTTACCACGGTGTTGAGGACAGCATGCCTGACTCCAAGGACTTTAAGGTACCCTGGGCCGTCAGCACGGGCTCCAGAGTCTGGGCGGGGTGGGTTGGTGGTTACCAGGACTGGCAGCATGATGAGGCAGCAGGTACTTGCTTTGGGAGTGCGCGCCCTGTAAGTGCTCCTCACCTCTGCGGAGCCTGCGGGACAGAGCTGTAGCGCGCCTGCACAGAGATTGCCTTGTCCTGTTAGCCAGTTGCTTTTCACCTTGTTCTTGGTGAGTGGTGGACATCTGCAATTTCCGGAGATTTACCCAAAAATACCTACTTTGCATATTGAGGATATACTCTTAAGTGAAATAAATAAGTCAAACATGTATAAATACCGAATAGTTTCTCTGGTGTGAAAAGCTATAATTGTACATAAGATCCTACTGTTATAATTGACAATGTGAAATAGGAAGAAAGGGGCTAAAGGCATAGGGCAAGTGAGAAGGGTAAGGGGAAGGAAATAAGGGAAAATATGAGAAAATAAAAAAATGGAAATAAAGTATTTGTAAATAGGGAAGGGGGTTGAAGGGAGGGCAGAGCTGTGGGGAAAAAAATGAGAACCAAGACCTGTCATGTAAAGGTACAAGATCCCAATGATGAATGTAACTGTACTGTATACCTAAAATGTACCAATAAACTCAATGAGAAAAAAAAGTACCTCCTTTGGCATTTAGCAGAATAACACAACTGCCTAAAATGAGCACAATTATATAGTGTGTGCCATTTCCCTTGGATCTTTTGTAGGCTTTCATTTAAAATCAAACAGCTGACAAGCAGTATTCTGGCTGATGGCCCTACAAAGGTGCACCAGGGCTGAGGTGCATTATTGTCCAGCAGAGTGAAACAGAGACCAGCCCCTGAAGACTGTGCTTTCTGGAACGGAAGCAGGACTGGCAGTGGGGGCCTCAGAAAGATCAATAGATTAACTTTGAAAATGGGTAGGTGGCTGGGATGGGGGTTCTGTTCATCATCCAGTTCTCCAGATGTTTTGACCCAAGGTAGTACTAGCTATCACCTGATGTACCCCTCTGTTCTGTGGGGCACAGGCTGTTGACTGTGGATTTCATCAGTCTGAAAGCAGGAGGGATCTCAAAGAATCAAAATATCATTAAGACTGACTTTTCAAACTCCCAGCACTTTCTACAGTGGAACCATGCTAACAGCTCCTTCTGTATTTTCCAGGAAAAAAATAATGCTTATACAAATATACACATGTTCATATATCTTTTATTTATTTACAAAGGTATAAAGCTGTAGAGATGTGCACTTTGATTTGCTTATGAAATACACTTTAGAATACATTTCAAATCAGCACTTGGAGATTTGCCTCATTCATTTTTGGTAGCTTCATAATATTCATGTATGACTGTATCATGATTAGACACTAAGTCGCTTGGGGTGTGTTTGTGATCATAGATGTGGCTTCTTAGTCATAATATTTTGGTGTGAAAGTTCTAGAAGAATCAGGACAAATACAGTTTTAACTTTGTGACCATTGGCAAATTACCACTAAAGCAAATTGCACGAACTGATAAAATTGCCAATCATGTGAGTTGTGCAGTAAGTTACACAGACAAACAAACCACATCTCTAAATTAAAGTCTATATATATAGATTCAAAGCTGACTTTTTGTCCTCCTTTGTAGTAGCATACTAAGTAAGGTCTTTGGTTTACTTTGAAGAACTAATTCTGGCTGGGGATTTGGCTCAGTGGTTCCACAGCCTGACTTGCAAGTGCAAGGGCCCTGGCATCACAAAAACAAAACAAAACAAAAAGAACTAATTCATAAATAGATCTTATCCCTAGCATAACATCTTTGGAATTAAAATGGGACAGCAAGAAATTTTTAATTTTTGAAAATAATCATTTAATTTTGTTTTATTATCCGTAATTGCTAAAGGATTTGTACAGTCTAGTTTTCTTTTTCTTTTTTTCCTTTTTCATACTGGAGATTGAATCCAATGTCTTTGTCCTGAGCTAAATGTTTGGCCTTTTAAAATTTTTTATTTGGAGATACAATCTCCCTAATTTGCCTAAGCTAGGCTAGAATTGTGATCCTTGTGCCCGATTCCAAAATTGCTGGGATTATAGGTGTGTGCCACCACCCCAGGCTTCAATTTTTTTCTTTCAGGTTTTGTTTGTCTTTATTCAATCATATTAAGTAAATCAAGAAGAGACACTCATGTTATTTAAGGCTATATTAGGACTTACAAATTGAGGAATATAGATATTTCATTTTATTATCTGCAGTAGTTTCAGATCATTCCATAAACTCCCAGTGTTTGACCTCATTTCAAAGCAATATATATGTAACTAGGGAAAAATTTGAACTCAAGAAATTTCTTGATGGGATCCTGATATGAAAGATATGGTATCACACAAATACACACACACACACACACACACACACATGCACGCACTCACGCACACACACAATCTCACAAACGCTAATAAAAATCAAAGGGCCACAGAAAACTTACAAAATATGAAAAATGTGGAAAAAGAACTGCTAGATGTACTTTCCTTTTTAAAATAATTTTCTTTCAAGAATGTTAATACCTTAACATTTAACCTCTCAATTGCTACAGTCTGTCACTCTGGTTTTCTTCCTTTCTTTTTTTTTTGTGGGGGGTCCCTCTACTACTTATGTATATTTCATTAAAGCCAACTAAAATGGATATATTTTAAATCTCTGATTAGGAAAAGCTTAGAATTAGCTTCTCTGAAGGTAACGTAGACACTTTGTGATGTAGTGAACCCACAAATATTTCAGAGTCCAAAAGAGCTTGAAGAGACCATGAGACAATAGGAAGCTACAATGGTTTAATTGGTGTAAATGACATCCTAGACTTACCTTCAGAACTTACTTATTTATTTAGAACTTTATTTATTCAGAATCTTCAGAACTTTGTTTAAAGCTCAGTGGCATGTCTTTTCTCAGTTGAGACTGTCTAGCATATCTCATGTGCTCTTGCTAATTATTTAGGTACTGTTCGTCATTTTGAGTTAAACAGTGCCTGGGGAGCATGTGAACCTAGTGCTTCCTCTAAAGACTGTTGAGTTGTGTGTGTGTCACACCACACCAGCAACCACACCTGTAAACTGCTCTTTCAATCATGAGGGTGGGCAGTAGAGTACTTTTATTAGCATCCAAAGATCATAGCACATCCAAGAGCAAAAATTGAATTTGCACAAACATTTTCTTAAGAATGAGCCTATTTCTGCAAGATGCTCATTTAAAATGCATTATTGCATGTTGGTAAATTCAGAAATGGTTGGATGCTTATTGGCATATCCTGCAGTCACTAAAGCTATATATAGCTTATATGGAATTCAGTTTCTCAGTTTAAAAGTGATACAACTTTAAGGGTCTGCTGTATAGAAGAGTGATTTTTTCTTTCCTTTTCTCCTCAGATAAAAACACTTCTACACATAAAAGTATCAGGAAAAAGTAAGAGTATAAATGTGTAGTATACTGTTAGCATAGACAATGCATGAGTGATTAAGGAAGAGCTGGTGTTTCTCAAATTTTCTTGTTGTCTTCAGAACCCTTTTAAACATAACAATATGGGAAATCTTGAAGAAGACTTGTTTGTGAGTTATGGCTACTAATAGTTATCACATTAGAAATTAAACAGGAGAAAACTCTGAAAACCTGAAAAGATACAGCACACATCCTATGAAGTACTGAGTGACAGCTTGTGGCATCTGGAAGATACCCACCTGGACTCCAGAAAGAGTAAGAGGATAGATGGGGGAATGGGAAGCTAGCACTGTCAGGAAGGCCTCCCAGGAGATAGAATTAGTGAGGACTGCTGGAGGCCAGGTGGACCGAGAACAAGTTGAGGAAGAAGGTACTGCATGTTCAGGTAAATGGTCTTGCAGCACCCAAGCAGAGCATAGGCACAGAAGTACATCCTGTAGCTATAAATGCCAGCTTCCAGAGAAGGCCACTAATATGTAGTTCACGGCCCTGTTGACATTTGCCTTCAACCTCAGTCTGGGACCAAAACCTGCAATTCATCTACAGCCAAATATCAAAATACCTAATCCAATGGCATTTCCGGCATCTCTAATGTAGTACGTAATCAATGATACCATTGTATCTGAACAATGTAAAAATGTTGGCAATAGAATACACTATGGCTTTTATATTTATGGAAAATACTTTACTATTCACTTTCAAATATAGGCAAGAGTTCTGGAAGCAACTTTCATTAAAAATCTTATCAGTCACTTGAAGTATAATTAAATATTCTGTAATTAATGATGCTGAAAGTTTTTATTTTTGCATAAGACAGATAACTAAGAAGTTTCAAATAGTTGAATCAGGAAATAGTTTGTCAGTGAATATGGATGTTATGAGATGATTTATTAGTAAAGTTTAGGAAGAACACAATATACTTTTTCCCAATACATTTAGATTTAAATAAATGCAAGGCTAATGCAGACAGGTTAATAACATAAGATTTTGTAAAAAAAATCCTGCAATAGTAACATTAAAATGTTAAAATATTAAATAAAATGATCTTTAAAGTTTTTTTTATAGTTAGTAATTTAAATACTGGGGATTAAGCCCAGAGCCTTGCACATTCTAGGCAAACACTCTACCATTAATCTACATCTCAAGCACCTAAGTTTTAGTAATTTAATTCTCATGAGTTTAAAAGAAAATCCTATTAGGAATTTTTTTACATCTTATAAGAACATAAAGATTATCATCTCAAAATTTTACAAGGAGAAAACAGAATGTCATTCATGGTACATCACCTCCAGTTCTCACATGATGAAGAGCATAAAAAATGAGATGTTAGGAGAAACTGAGGTATTCGAAACAACTCTTACTCTTTGCGTCATGAGTAGAAGTAAGCATCTCTTAAGAATTGCACATTTCTAGGCCATGGACAGCAGTGGACAGGGCTAAAAACTTGTTAAGCCTTCCCTTTCATGCTTGTTCTTATGTTTTATGATATTTCATTCTTTCAAACTGTCCATTCTGTGTGGATTTTGACATCAATCTCAACTTCTACTGTATATTAATTTTTAGTATTCATCGTGCAGCCAAAATATATATTGCATGCCCTCTTATTCAAATACTGACTTGGCCCCTTACTGGTATGCCTTTGGGCAGTGAATCTAGTAACCCATCAGTGTCCTGATGTCAGGCCCAGGTAAGTATGTATCGTAAGGGAATGTTACTAGAACCTCTGCAGAAAGTCCTAGCTTCATATGAGCCATGACAGCATAAGTCAAATTAGTTTATTAGACAGAAAAGATAGAAAAAAATGAAACTTAGAGAAGGTGAGCTTTGGGCCTGATTAATGCTGCTCTGGGCAGCAAAGACAAAAGTGCCTGAGCTTGCTACATCTTTATTCACTACATCAGGAGAAAACAAATGTAACATGACTCAGGGCAAAGAGTTCAGTACATCAGCTTAGCAAATGTAAAAGGTCACTCGGAAGGAGCAGCAGAGGCAGCCGTGAAAATTTTAGAACAATGAGGAACTATGCAGATGCAAATTTTGTTCCTCACAGGATGCCTTCAGCTGGTATGATCTTGTCCTGGAGCATCACTGCATCACTGGACCATTGAGGTCTTAGCTGTGACCAGGGGCCAAAATGAAGTTATGTCTCAACATGCCATAGCTGGCCTGTAGGCAGGAGAGCTAGGGCTAATGGAATAATTTTCCCCCAAATTTATGTAGAATTGCTCCCAGACAGTGCATGAGTGTTAGCTTTTCCTGCCTGCAGAGAATAAGAGGAACTCAACCTGGCTCAGTTGCCACGAGGCAGATACCCAGTGTCCAGAAGAAGGAGAATACTCATTCCCAGGAAGTGGGCAGCCATCTTAGATTACTGACCAAAGTAATTTATATGACAAGATCAGATGATTCTAGCTCTGGTATATAGGGAAACATTGCCTGGAGATTGACTGTAGGTAGGGAAACTGAAGGGAGAACAGAAAATTTAGATTTCTGGACTTAATAATCCTTTCATTCCTAGAAACCCTTTTTCTAATCCCAATTTCTCATGCTGCAGTTTGAATTCATTTTCATCAAACAAAGTGAATTCTCCTATTTTTTTATATTTATTAGTTCTTAGAGCATATTCTTAGGTTCTTTAGGTTAGTTCCTTAAATTTACTTCAAAAGCCTTTATTCCTTCAGCATATACAGATCTATAGTCAGAAATGAGAATATTTATTTAATGTAATTATCAATACTTAAGCATTTGCTTTTACTTTATGTCGATAAACATTCTGTGTTCTTCAAGAAAAAAGGAAAAATTTGAAGCAAAGCTTTTGAAAATGGGGAAGGGAAGAAGAGTAGCTGGGAGAGGAGAGAAATGGGAAATAAAGAATTAAGATATATCATATACAGGTATAATAAATCTCCTATGATGGATGTGATCATTATGTATGGCAAATAGGTACTAATAAAAATTATAAAAATAATTAAAAATATTTACCTATATATAAACATAATAATTTGGGGTAATATTAAACTTTTAAAAATATAAAATGATTAACTTTATATGCTTTGCATATTCTTATTTAAGGTGACAGTTTTATATATATACATCTCTAGGTGGTTTTTGAAGGAAACGAATGTAGATTACAACACTTCATCAAGAACCGATGGAAATTAAGCAAATATGAAGAGGCAAATGTCTCTCCTTTGCATCATGCTGCAGCAGAAGGTGAACTAGAACTGATGAAGATGATTATCAGTGGTTCTTCTTGTGAAGGTAATGAAATGTTACAAGCATTCCATAAATCCATCATGTGTTAAAGTCACAGGGAAGAGTGGTATGGAATGATACTAAAAGGTAGATTAATTAGTACCAGATCTGAATATATATTCAGAGGATCTGAATATAATTGCCTGGAGTGTGAGTTGCCCTTCAGACCAATACTTTTTGAATGTTATAGCTGAAATACTATAAAAGAGAGTATAGAGATCTGGGAGACTCACAGCAAGCTGAGACTTTCTTTGCATTTCTGGACAGATAATAAAAATTCAGACACATTTTACATACCCTCTTTACTGTTTTAATGGATGTTATTCTACATTTCAATTATTTATCATTTCATAAAATTTACATCTCAAGAAGATGTAACATTTTCCCTCTCCCATCACTGGATACCCACCTTCTTTGAGAAATTGAATTGTAGATATTTAAGAAGGTGGAGGCACAGAGATTTCAACAGTGACATGGTATGAGGAGACCTTCGCTATATAATTCCAGAAATATTGTGGAAGGTAAAATAAAAGTAGAAGTCTAGGCAGAAAGTTATTTTAGCATAAAGAGAAGATGAGGGTCATCAAGGTTGTGATCTTTGAATAAAGAAAAAGAGAAAGTTCACGAGACTATTGGCAATTAGGTTCATCAGTACCTGACAGTGCATTGAACCTGGAGCATAACTAGCAGTGAGCTGGACTAGAGTTAGGCTGATTAGATAACCCTTCCCCAGGCAAAAAAGTAAAAGAAAAGAAATGTGTGAGGGTGTGAGGAGGTTGAGTCACCCTGAGTTTGAATGGGCCAGCGGGCAGAACCTTGGAAATCCAGTAGACAATCAGAAATGCAGAAGGAAAGGAGCTGTGCTTACAGGGCCATTACTGCATAGAAGTAGATGAGACTGTGGGAATGAATGAATATCTTTTAGAAGACCATAGATTCCTGACAGAGGCAGTTAAGAGTTGAGTACCAACAATAAAGATAGATAGCAGTAGAAAAACCAGAAAAAGTATAAACAGCGTAGTGAGTAAGAGATTGATGATACATAAACCAAGAGAGAAATTTTTGGGACAGACGAGTCACAAGGATCAATAGCTCTAAAGCAATCACATAGGAAGAAAAACACAAGAAAGCCCTTATATTAAGAGTCCCCAGTGACCTTTGTAAAAATGAGTTCTGAAAAATGGTGAACATAAAGGCCCAATTCAAATTATTTAGTTAGTAAATGAGTGTAAGCATCTATAACTGTTTAAACTTGGTACTGAATAGAGTGTTCCATCTTGCTCAGACAGAATGGCCAAGAAATGTATGTAAGGATGTGTCTAATTCTTGGGGTGTGTGTGTGTGTGTGTGTGTGTGTGTGTGTGTGTGAGTTTGTGTGTGTGTGTGTGTGTGTGTGTGTGTGTGGCTATTTTTGTTGTTGAGAATGAGGTGAATGAAAGGATTACAGAGGGAAACAGGAAACTTGGCATATCTTGGATCCAGGTATGGTAGATGATCCCCATTTCTGAGTGAATAGATTTTTTCCTCCCTAGACATAAAGATACACGGCCACTGACTGAAATGACTGATAAAGCAGGCAGCCTTTTCTGCTTTAGAGTAGATGTAGGGCACTTTAGGATGAAACAGCATAGAATTCTTGTGCTAAGCCCCCAGGGTAAATAATATCAGTTGTTGTATTGTAGAAATACATGGTAACTATGTACAGCATCGGGGCTCACTTTAAATTCAAGTCTTCTGGTTTATTAGTGGTATATATTTTTCTCATCAATATTTTTGGAACCTTTATTATAGGCCAGGTACTCTTCTAAGATCTTTAAAGATATGAATTAGCATTAATTTCCCCCAAAGCGTTATAAGGTATGTATGCGTGTGGTGTGTATATCTGTGCATGTGCATTATTTTGTACCATGTTTGACGACGAGAAAGCTGAGGTTCGAAGGGATTCTATAATTTACACAACTCCTTGTAAGTTTTATGATGTTGAACATTTTCAACCTCTGTAGGCTTCAGCACCTTCCTTCTGAAAATCGGCCATGAGAGCATCTTGCAGCCTAATGGAAGCTTGACTGAAACCAGGGTCATGTGAACCCTAGGAGATTGCCTGACATATAGTTCCTGCTATTATGCAGTTCCAGTATTTTCTCACAATCCCCCAATTTATATATAGGTAAAGATGTGTAACAGTAGGAAGACCTATTTCTTTCCAGTGCTATAGTGAGAAATTTAACTCAATTGACAAGATCAGTGTCATATTTTCATATTCTCAAAAGTGTCCCTTAGATGTTTCTTGGAAACTGAAGCTGTATTTTTATTTCTATAAAGAGGATGCAGCTGATTATACTAGCACTTGGTGCTGTGAATTGAAGTGGACAGGAAGTAGTGAAGACAGTCCAAACAAAATTTAATCCTATTTTGGATTTTTTTTTTCTAGTGCTGAATGTAATGGACAATTTTGGAAATACCCCTCTGCACTGGGCTGCAGAAAACAACCAGGTTGAAAGTGCTAAGTTTCTTCTCACTGAAGGAGCAAACCCCAACCTCCGAAACAGCAGCATGATGGCGCCCCTTCACTTAGCTGTGCAGGGGATGTACAATGAGATGACAAAGGTAAGGCTGCTGGCTGCGGGGTTGCTGGCAGCCCCACAGCTGGATCTCTGCCTGGTCCAGGGTGGCCAACCTGAGCTGTAAGGGCAAAGGCAATGTAAGGATTCTGCATTCACCTTACTTCTCACTGCTGGTGTTACTGATGATGGTGCTGATGGTATTATCTTTCATAAGTGGTTTTAATTTTAAGAGGTTTGTGTTTAGCTTATTAAATCCTCATTTTAAAAACAACTACAAATTGTTGGGCGTGGTGACGCACACCTATAATCCCAGCGCTCAGGAGGCTGAGGCAGGAGGATCACTGTGAGTTCAAAACAAGCCTGGACTACATTGTGAGTTCCAGGTCAGCCTCAACTAAATAGTGAGACCCTGTCTCAAAAAACAAAACAAAACAAAATAAAAAACCCTACAAATTAAGACTATTAGTATCTCCATTTTACAGCTAAGAAAGATAAAGCACAGAGAGAATTAAATAACTTGCCTAATGTCACATCCTTTAGGTCTGGCATGCAAGGAGTGAAGGGAACCTTGCTCATGCCTCCCTCCTGTGCCTGGTTTAGAGTTCTCCGGTGATTTTTAGCTCAAGAGATTGTCACTCACTGTTCATGTGCTTTTCTTCCATGCTGATTCCTTGAAGAAGGGATTGTGGCTTACTTATCTAAATGTTTCCAGTCCTTAGCCCCATGCTAGTGAATACAGGCTGTTGAATACATAAATGAGTGGATAAATGAATAAGTGAAGAAGAGAGCAGAGGTACTGGTATTTATAAAATGGGTCAGAAAAGCTCTCTAAGGGGGTTATTAGAAAAACCTCTGGTGATAGGCAATTTGTTTTCTTTTTAAAAAATTCTGCTGTATTTGAGAGCCAGGTGCTGCTTCCCCTCTCACGCAGGTTGGGTCATTAATGACTGCAGGGACATGTAGCCCAGAGATGTTATGTATCTCTTTATGGAACACTTGTGCTTTCTCAGTGGGCTCTTTTCAGAGACAAAAGCCCATTAACTTAACCTTGGCTCTTAAAAGTGTGATTTGGGGATTCAGTTGCAGGTAACAGTTGAAAAGCTATTGTTAATTAGAAAAAGAAATCCAGATCAACAAATATAGAAAGTTGAATATGGTATAGAAATAGAAAAGACAGTTTAGAAATAAGCCCATAACTGATTTATAAACTGGATGGTAGACACAAAAGAACTTCTCCTGGGTGACACCACCCCAAGAAGAAAATTAGTCATAAGAGAGTTGAAATTGTCTCTCTTTTACTTGGTCTTCCTAGGCATAACTACATCTAAAATATTCTCAAATCCCCCTGGCTCAGCAGATTATAGGAGAGAAGGGAGGAGCAGGAGGAGAAAGTTTTTCGGAGCGTCTCCCTGCGTGGCTGTCCCAGTTATGCCCATGGGCCTGAACCACCACCAGCCCTTGCTGGTTAGGAAGGCTCCTTCATTGTCCTCTCCACCAACCTCCCCCCACCTTCCACCATTTCCCGCGTGGTTGTAAAGTGAAAAATTGTCACCCATATATCACCTCAAGCTATAGTATTGTATGGAGCCCCCTGGCGGAGGGATTAGAAGTGCCATTATTTCTCAGAGACCTTATTCCTTAGGGCTTCCACTCAATTGAACCAGTTGTTTGACCCTCCCACAAAGCTCCCTGGCTTCTTATCAAAGAATAATCTAGAGAGCACACCAGCAAGCTTTTAGACTTGCCCGGTCATGACTGAATTATAAGTAGATGCGTAGTTTAGTTTTGCTTTCTGGGACCACAGCCACATATAAGTTACTACAGAAGACTGAAAAATTATGCTTATGACAGAAAAATAACAGCACCTTAATAAATGCTGCAGATCTATGATGCTAAAAGGAAAAAAAAAAGGAAAACATCTCTTTTCGTACACTTTGGTGGGTTCTTTCATACGTGAACGTAAAGGTTCTTAAGAATAGATGCAGGGCCTGAGACTCAGTGGCTCTGCACCCACATTGTAAGTACAACATCCTGAGTTTGATTCCTGGTACCAAAGCAAACAAACAAACAAACAACAATAGATGCAAAAGCTTCTGCTGTCTCTAAAGTGAAACTTTTGTTCTAATTTCTCCTCATCCTTTAATAGTTTCCATATATGTTCTTAAGTACTAAAATCTCAATGTAATTTCTCTTTTGAGCAGAGCTCATTAGTAAGACTAATTCATCTGCTGACACTAGTAGGAGGTTTGATTTAATTTTAAAAAGTCAAGATTTTTAAGAAACAGCTTTTTGAATAAACTTAAAACAATTTAATATAAGCTTCTTCTGTAGTCTTATCATAATGTTACTGCAAAAGGAAAGGTATCCGGTGTCTAGTAGGTCAAATCAAAGATTTTTGTCTTGAAAAGGGTACTTAGGTAATTTTTTGTTAGATTTAATGTGAAATAAAGATTGGTTAGAGAGGCATAGATTTGGCCAATAATCAACTGGCAGTTAGCAGGTGAGTGGGCAGCACGTCTTCAATTAAAATCCATCAGAAAAATTGCTTCAACATTTTAATCAGGATACTAATTTCTAGCATCATAAAAAAGTTTTCTTTTCAGATCAAGTGTGAATTAATTACATTATGCCAAACCAACACAGGGTGCTCTATTTGTTCTACTAAAGACAATGAAATTTTATTGACATTTCCTGGAATTCTTGAAAAAAAAAAGAATAATGACTAGAGGGGGAAGAAACTATTTCCCTTCATCCCTTCCTTTCTCCCTCTTTCCCCTCTCCTTCCTTTCCTTCCTTCTGTTCTATGTACACATTCCAGGTGGCTCCATACATTTTTGGTTGAAGACATTAACGTACCTCACTTAATACAAGTGTTAAGTATTGAGTGAAACTATGTGAAGTACTTATAATTGTTATTCTATTCCCAATTCCACAATTTAACATTTCCAAAATTATCGTTTTGTACATTGGATGAATTTAGCTGGTACCCACAATGAGCAAGCTTTTGTGCCAGATACTGTGGGAGAGGGATGCAAAAAGGCAAATGAATCATGGCCTTTAAGAGCTTATAGTCTGCTGAAAGACAAGTCCTTATTTGAAAATCTTCAATTTAGCATTTTGGCAATTGTTTTTACCTTCTGTGTAGGTCTTGATCGAGCACAGCAGTACTAATATTAATTTGGAAGGAGAAAATGGAAACACAGCTGTGATGATCACATGCTCCAAAGATAACAGTGAAGCACTGGAAATTTTGGTTTGTATATTAATCTTATTTTGCTGCTGTCTTTATCTTTTCCTAAACATAGTGTGAACTATTCTTATTTATATATTAGCTCTTCATTTTCTCTCTTTAGCAAAACATAAAATATAGAAAATGGGCTTGCCCCTAGTTTAATTCCCAGTACCAAAACAAACAAACAAACAACAACCAAAAAAAAAAAAAAAGAAAAAGAAAATAGGCTTGAAAAACTCAGTTCTATTTGTTTTTGTATAACTCTTCACTCCTTGGATCCTAAATGCACCCTGACATTGCTTACAAAAGACTAATAATACAGCATGAAAGGAAATGTGAGAAAAAAATGAAAGTGAAAAGAAAATATAGGCAAGAAAAATGAAGATGACACTGATGGTTAGGCTACAATGTAAAGTACAAAGTATAACAGGGTGTATATAAATAAAGATTAAATCATACGTTTAACTCTTTGCTTCTAAATGGTCAAAGGATACAGGAACCCAGCTGCTCCTCAGATAGAGGACTATTATCTAGAATATATAAAGAACTCAAAACAATCATCCTGCCAAATATAAAGACCTGATTCAAAAAATGGGCATCTGAAATAAACAGACATTTCTCAGACAAAGAAGTAAAAGCAGCAAGTAAATATATGAAAAATGTTCCACATCACAGGTCATTCGAGAGATGCAGATGAAAATAACACTGAGATTCCACCTCATCCCACAAAGAATGGCTGCTATCAGAAAATCCACTAATAACAAATGTTGCCGTGGTTGTGGGGAGAAAGGAACCCTTCTCCATTGTTGGTGGGAGTGCAGACTGGAAATCAATATGGAGATACCTCAAAGAGCTGGGATTTAGAGGTTCCATTTGACCCAGCCATCCCTCTGCTGGGTATCTTTCCAAAAGAATTAAAAGAATCATATCACAGTGATATATGCACACCTATGTTTATAGTGGCACAGTTTTTAATAGCTAAAACTTGGAAACAGTCCATTTGCCCATCAGTTGGAGACTGGATAAAGAAGATGCGGTTTTAATATAAAATGGAATACTACTCAGTCATAAAGAATGAGAAATTAGAGTCGTTTATAGGAAAATGGATACATGTTGAGGCTATACTCTTAAGTGAAATAAATAAATCACACATGTGTAAATACCGAATAGTTTCTCTGGTGTGAAAAACTATAATTATACATAAGATCCTAATGGTATAATTGACAATGCAAAATAGGAAGAAAAGCCCTAAAGGTGTAGGGGAAGTGGGAAGGATAGGGGAAAGGAAATAAGGGAGAAGAAAAAGATATGGGAAAATGAAAAAATGGAAATAAAGTATTTGTAAATAGGGAAGGGAGGAGGGGGTGAAGAGAGGGCAGGGATGTGGGGAAAAAATGAGAACCAAGACCTGTCGTGTAAAGGTACAAGATCCCAGTGATGAATGTAACTGTACTGTATACCTAAAATGTACCAATAAACTCAATGAGGAAAAAAGAAAGATGAATATATATACAAGGCATGAACAGAACATATAGTGAATATTTATGTTTACAAAGTATTGCAGAAAAATACACATTGCTCTAATCCCCTTCAAATTACTTCCCTTTACTTTCACACTTATGGCATCGTTCTTGTCACTTTCTGAGGCGTTTCTGGAAGTCCTCTTTCGTGAGTGTCATAGTTGTTTGGTGCAGCTGCTTCAGAGTCCTGAACAGATTCAAAATGTTTACCATTGATGGTCATTTTGATTTTGTGAAAGAGCTAGAAGTGCCATGAAGCCAGCCTGGTAAATAAGGTAGATAAGGACGCACTGTAATGTTTGTACGAGACTGTCTTTCTGTTGGACAGCACTAAAAAGTAGCATTTGGTATATTTTTTTATTATTCCTCCTGAATACACTCATAAAAGAGGATTTCCAGAACTGCTTTAGAAGGTGGTGAGAATGATGGAATGAATAAGTGCATTCAAAACAATGGGAGAATTATGAGGGAGATTAATAGCAATATATTTTTTACTGTAATATATTTTTTAAAATTTACACATTCACCATAGTTTTGATCAGCTCTTGCAGTCAACTGCAGACTCACTTGACCCATATGATAAAAGCCAAAATAGGGGCTGGGGATTTAGCTCAGTGGCTCCACCGCCTGCCTTGCAAGCACCAGAACCCAAGTTCGATCCCTAGCACCAAAAAAAAACAAAACAAAAAAAAAACCAAAGCAAAAAGAATTGGTTTGCTTTTGCCAGGGATTTAGTTCAGTGGTTCCAGTGCCTGCCTCGCAAGCACAAGGACCTGAGAATTCAATCCCTGGTACCAAAAAAAAAAAAATAATAATACCAAAAGAAAGACAGTCGATCCCACTCCCAAGCCTATAAGAAATACTTGCCATGGGTTTTGAAAGGGGAAATCCTTTTATGAAAAAGATTTAGCCATAGCCCTAAGCAAAAGGCCAGTTTTGATTTCCGGGAAGGTTTTGGAGTGGCTGAAGACTCCTGTCTTACTGATGTCCTTCTCTTCCTCCTACCAGTGCTCCTCCTTATTATACTACTAGAATTTCAGGATAGTTTTCTCTCAAGTCTTCCATAATTATTTGCATGCTATCTAGGCCAGGTTCCGTATTTGTATCACTTGATTTTGCCTCTTCATCATCACAGAGAGTAGGAAAATGAAATTTTAAATTACTTAAATGTTTTCTTGGTATTTAAATATACAGTTACATAGTAACATATTTACTAGCTATATTTAGAGATAAACACATAGATTACATACTGATACAACTGACCCAAAAGAGAATAAATAATGAGAAAAAAAAAGAATTAGCACTGAAATCAAGAATTTAGAAAAATAGCTTTGCATAAACCAAAACAAATTGTAATAAAGAATAAAGTTAAAAGTATTTTAGAAAATACTGTACATCATATTTCTTTGCAAATGTAATTTTTATGTGTTTATTTTGTGATTGCTTTATTCAAAAAGACTTGTAATAAATAATGTATTCTTTAACAATATGATTTTAGGAAGTGCATATTCCATTTTTCTTCTTTTTTCCAGTTAAAAAAAGGAGCTAAGTTGTGTAAATCAAATAAATGGGGAGATTTCCCTGTTCACCAAGCTGCATTTTCAGGTGCCAAAAAATGCATGGAATTAATATTACAGTTTGGTGAGTGAAGGATTTCTTATAACCTTTCTGATAACAAATCTTTTTCTTATAGGTGCTATTAATTTGAAAAGTATTTAATAGAACTTATACATAGGTGTTTGTGTAAATCTATAGGTCCTTTCTTTTGAAAATTTACTAGTTCATGTAAATATTCCCCCAATTGGTATTTTCTTCCAAAGGTGAAGAAGATGGGTACAGCAGACAGTCTCTTATTAACTTTTTGAATAATAAGCAAGCCAGTCCACTCCACCTGGCAGTTCAAAGTGGCAACCTGGAAATGATTAAAATGTGTCTTGACAATGGTGCTCACATAGAGCAGATAGAGGTAATTATTCATATTCTACGTGGCACTTTTATTTTAGAACTGTAACAAATTCTTTTTTAAAATGCTTTTCTAAAATTGCTCCTTTATAGTCAATTTAGATATAAAATGCATATTGCAGAAAATAAATGTTGTTTCCTTTTGTTCGTGCAGACCAGAAGATCCTAAATTTTATATTATCAAATTTCAGCACACCAGTAACAACTGGGAATACAGATACTGTAAAGACTATATTCAATTTAATTGCCCTACCCTCAAAATAAGTTAATGCCTGCCTTCAAAATAGCATATTAATCTTGTCTGTGAGGAACATTGAAGTTCGATCATGAATATCTCTAATTTCAGTTATATTCTAAAGAGCTGTATCTTTTAACTAATTTTTAAGATTATATATGTGAAAGTCCTTAAGATTAACCTAATGCCAAGCATATCTAAATAAAAGTATAGACTTTGTGCCCTTTTCCCATTGGTATCTTGGTCCTCATAATCTGGGGGGGAAATTATGGAATCCAGATATGAAAACAAGACCTGTCAGATTACAAGAAAGCACAATTGCTAATCATGAATTTTATACTGATGCCTTTTTCAATAGATGAAACAGCACTATTCATGTTAAATCTGACATTTCTTGATTCTGGGAAAAAGAAACTCATAGCTAAATGTAAGTTATGTCCTTAAATTAAATTTAAACTCTGATTCTGGAATCAAAATTCTTTATAGAATGGGAAGTGCATGGCTCTGCATTTTGCTGCAACCCAGGGAGCCACTGAAATTGTTAAACTGATGATATCATCCTATTCTGGAAGCAGCGATATTGTTAATGCAGTCGATGGAAATCATGAGACCCTGCTTCACAGGCAAGTTTCCTACCATATCCTTCAGTATACAAATTTTAGTTTACCCATGTTAAATCATGAGTTGCAAAAAATCAGTGAGTATACTAGCAAAGATTCTGTAGTTGGAAAGAACAGAACAGACAATAATGATCCATGGTTCAACTGAAATTTTATGCTGCTCAGGAATCTGAGTAGTCTGTTACATAGATCTTCACAGAAAAATCTCTACTGCCTTATTCTGGATCAGTTCTTCATCCACTCAAATTTGGCTTCTTACACCATGTGGAAGTCAACACTCAAGGCTTTCCATGCCATTTCTAATCTGTTCTAATTCTTCATGTGTATCTCAGTCCCATGTTTACTGAGGATAATGCAGCAGATACCTATGGATGTTCCTTTGTTTCCCTTCTAATCTCTTCTACCTATCCCCCAAATTATAGGTAAATATGTTCAAAACATACAACTTTAGGAAATCATAAGCGATTCTCTAAAAAAGATAACTTTATATGTGGGGTTTAGCCTAAACATGTACTGGGAAAGTGTTTGAAATTTTAGGCTTACTAGATCTGGGACTGACCGTGTAGTACATTCCGAGTTAAAATTCTTGGGAAGAGAAGGACCATATGAATGAAAGAGGTTGGCTGAGATGAATTGTTTCCCTCCCTCCCTCTCTCTCTCTCTCTCTCTCACACACACACACACACACACACACACACACACACACACACACACACTTGTAATTAGGTTGAAGGCCTGGAAAGGTAGAAAATGTCTGAGCTATTTCAGTTGATTACTAGGCAGGAAGGGCTGGGGATTTAGCTTAGTGGTTCCACCACTTGCCTCACGAGAGCAAAAGTTCGATCCCTGGTACAAAAAAAAAAAAAAAAAAAATTACTGGACAGGAAATCTATAATATCTTTCAGGGAAAAAAAAGATACTCTCTCTACTAAGATAAGTTTTTAAACTGAGGTGGCGATAGATATACATGTTAGTAAAACCACCAGCCACAATGAGAATAGAAAGGAACTCCCACTTATGATGAATTCGCAAACTAAAACATCATACCATAAAGGGAAAAGAATTAAAACAACAAAGTCAACAAAAGACCTATATACTGAGTTCCAAGGAGTTGGAAAGAATAGAGTGATCTGAAAGGGACTTTGAAATAAAGATATTTAAAACTTCCAAAAATTTAAAGCAAAGGATAATGTTATGTAAAAAAATTGTTAATATATTGTGATAATAAAAGATTATAAACAATTGTGACCAATAAATTCAAAGGTTGTGATATAGAAAGATGTAGTTAGAAACCCTTTAAAAAGTCATTAAAATAAAACAAAATTTTAATATATACTAGTCTTTAATACTAGACTCTAAAACTATTGCATATTACAATCATGCATGGAACTTACAAAGTCTCAATGCCAGTTAATACCCAAGATTCTCTTAGAATCTTTGATAGGTGTCTCAAGATTTCTTTAAAGAACTTTTTGGTTCTATTATTTGCTCAGTTTGGAAAGATGCTGACTTAAGTATAATTAAAATGCACCCTTAGAACACAATCTGAATATGGAAATATGCCTAAGAAGGAATTATTTTAAGAAATTAAGATTTAAATTTAGATTTAATTTTCTAAAATTACTAAATGTGATTAATATATTGTAAATATAATGCAAACTCTTTTGAGTTTTTAGTGAAAATCAGCAAGCTGATTCCAAAATTTGTACAAAAGGCTAAGTATAGCTGAAATCTTGAATAGGAACATAGAATTGAAACTTGCAATAGGAAAAAAATTTAAATCACTAGTATTAATGTCTGTCATGGTGATACTTTAATGTAGGATAAACACATTTGCTTTTTGATTAACATGATTCTTATGGCTAGCCATGAGAATATACCAAAACAACTTTGATTCTCTCCATAATTAATTTTGGCTCTATAAAAACTAAGGCTTCCTTGCTAAGTCTTCCTTGTTAGCTTTTCCCAAAGAAGACCACTGTGCACCTTGTGCGTAAGTTTAGGCACACTTTACAAGTACCTGCCTTCAGTCCCCGTGATCAGAGTGAGGCCAGTTAGATCTTTTGTCTTTTATATCTCAGGGCATTGCATACTTACTTCAGAACATCTTACAAACAAAATAAGTACATTAAAAGATGTAAAGAAAAATTTGTGATATATTTGATTTTTTCCTTACTAATATTACTTTGAAAATATGCTATCAGAATCAATTATACATTTCTAAGATGATCAATCTTTAGCATTACATTATGCAATTCAATGTCTGATTTAATTAACTGTGTAAATATAATACCTATATTTTATATATTTATACCAATATTACCTTAATTCTGTTTTTTGCAGAGCCTCCCTATTTGATCACCATGAACTAGCAGACTACTTAATTTCAGTGGTAACTATTTAACTGACAGGTTTATTTCATTAAACTACTACTTACAGTAGAAAAAGCAGATAATTACACAGTATGGGATTTCAAAGGTAAACATTTTTATTTCTTGCTTAGCTGCAAAGAAAAGTTTTCAGGAGGATGGCTGACATTTGACACGTTTGCAGTCGAGAGTATTTGTTTGTGAATACACATTGGCCACACTTAATCACCATGAAGTTCACAGTATAAAAGTGTACTTTTCTATGCCTGTGTCAACTTTCCTAGTGCAAGGAGTTTGTGGATTCTTTTCAAAGAAAGCTTTCTGGATGGCCTGTGAACCAGTTCTCTGGGGAGTCGAAGGCTTATGCAGCTCTGGTGGCTCATCTTTAGGACTCGGTGGGTTAAGCTGGTCATGTGGGACAGGCTGCCTAAATCACCTTCACCTGCATTGCAAGCTTCTACCCCACTGCTCCAGCACCAACTTTCAAACCAAGAGAAATGAAGGAATTGAAGAATATTGTTGAAGATTTATTGCAAATAGTGTGATATCTTTCTCATTCTAAGAACTGAAATCAGTTACCTTTTGAGTTAAATTTTCATAGGCCCTATATATGGATGAACTTATAATGTTATTATTTAAGCCCAGTGTATCAGCAATGAATGTAATTCCACTTGTATAAAAAAAAAAAAAAAAAAAAAAAAAGATTACTGGACAGGAAATCTATAATATCTTTCAGGGAAAAAAAAGATACTCTCTCTACTAAGATAAGTTTTTAAACTGAGGTGGCGATAGATATACATGTTAGTAAAACCACCAGCCACAATGAGAATAGAAAGGAACTCCCACTTATGATGAATTCGCAAACTAAAACATCATACCATAAAGGGAAAAGAATTAAAACAACAAAGTCAACAAAAGACCTATATACTGAGTTCCAAGGAGTTGGAAAGAATAGAGTGATCTGAAAGGGACTTTGAAATAAAGATATTTAAAACTTCCAAAAATTTAAAGCAAAGGATAATGTTATGTAAAAAAATTGTTAATATATTGTGATAATAAAAGATTATAAACAATTGTGACCAATAAATTCAAAGGTTGTGATATAGAAAGATGTAGTTAGAAACCCTTTAAAAAGTCATTAAAATAAAACAAAATTTTAATATATACTAGTCTTTAATACTAGACTCTAAAACTATTGCATATTACAATCATGCATGGAACTTACAAAGTCTCAATGCCAGTTAATACCCAAGATTCTCTTAGAATCTTTGATAGGTGTCTCAAGATTTCTTTAAAGAACTTTTTGGTTCTATTATTTGCTCAGTTTGGAAAGATGCTGACTTAAGTATAATTAAAATGCACCCTTAGAACACAATCTGAATATGGAAATATGCCTAAGAAGGAATTATTTTAAGAAATTAAGATTTAAATTTAGATTTAATTTTCTAAAATTACTAAATGTGATTAATATATTGTAAATATAATGCAAACTCTTTTGAGTTTTTAGTGAAAATCAGCAAGCTGATTCCAAAATTTGTACAAAAGGCTAAGTATAGCTGAAATCTTGAATAGGAACATAGAATTGAAACTTGCAATAGGAAAAAAATTTAAATCACTAGTATTAATGTCTGTCATGGTGATACTTTAATGTAGGATAAACACATTTGCTTTTTGATTAACATGATTCTTATGGCTAGCCATGAGAATATACCAAAACAACTTTGATTCTCTCCATAATTAATTTTGGCTCTATAAAAACTAAGGCTTCCTTGCTAAGTCTTCCTTGTTAGCTTTTCCCAAAGAAGACCACTGTGCACCTTGTGCGTAAGTTTAGGCACACTTTACAAGTACCTGCCTTCAGTCCCCGTGATCAGAGTGAGGCCAGTTAGATCTTTTGTCTTTTATATCTCAGGGCATTGCATACTTACTTCAGAACATCTTACAAACAAAATAAGTACATTAAAAGATGTAAAGAAAAATTTGTGATATATTTGATTTTTTCCTTACTAATATTACTTTGAAAATATGCTATCAGAATCAATTATACATTTCTAAGATGATCAATCTTTAGCATTACATTATGCAATTCAATGTCTGATTTAATTAACTGTGTAAATATAATACCTATATTTTATATATTTATACCAATATTACCTTAATTCTGTTTTTTGCAGAGCCTCCCTATTTGATCACCATGAACTAGCAGACTACTTAATTTCAGTGGTAACTATTTAACTGACAGGTTTATTTCATTAAACTACTACTTACAGTAGAAAAAGCAGATAATTACACAGTATGGGATTTCAAAGGTAAACATTTTTATTTCTTGCTTAGCTGCAAAGAAAAGTTTTCAGGAGGATGGCTGACATTTGACACGTTTGCAGTCGAGAGTATTTGTTTGTGAATACACATTGGCCACACTTAATCACCATGAAGTTCACAGTATAAAAGTGTACTTTTCTATGCCTGTGTCAACTTTCCTAGTGCAAGGAGTTTGTGGATTCTTTTCAAAGAAAGCTTTCTGGATGGCCTGTGAACCAGTTCTCTGGGGAGTCGAAGGCTTATGCAGCTCTGGTGGCTCATCTTTAGGACTCGGTGGGTTAAGCTGGTCATGTGGGACAGGCTGCCTAAATCACCTTCACCTGCATTGCAAGCTTCTACCCCACTGCTCCAGCACCAACTTTCAAACCAAGAGAAATGAAGGAATTGAAGAATATTGTTGAAGATTTATTGCAAATAGTGTGATATCTTTCTCATTCTAAGAACTGAAATCAGTTACCTTTTGAGTTAAATTTTCATAGGCCCTATATATGGATGAACTTATAATGTTATTATTTAAGCCCAGTGTATCAGCAATGAATGTAATTCCACTTGTAGTATTTAACCTGTGCATTTTGTCAGTAGCAACAATTGAAATTATCATATTTAATAGAAACTTGGAAAGCCTCACTAGATACCATGGCTTCATGCCATGCTTGGCTGCCAAGGCAGCCGCCCCTTCACCTGGCGGGAGAACTAAGGCACCATTACCCACTACCACAAGGGTTCCAAGGGGCTGGTGCAGGCATCATCATCTGCACTCAGTGGACCCTGAAAGAACAGGGATGTTGCCACAATCCAAGGTCAAGCTGTTTCTATTAACATGTCCAAACTATAGAATTCTCTCCCTGAAATTTTCGAAGGCCTTTTACTTCTTATCATATCAGATATTATAACCACAACAAATAAAAATCACATGGCAGACTTTTAAGTGTAAATTTTCTCAAATATTTGCCCCAAATCTTACCTAAGTAAATTCACTTATTTTAGTTTATCTTTTTCAAATGAAGCAGGTTTTTTTAAAAATAAAGTTTGTTATGAATTTTTAAAATCATGTATGCAATAAATTTGGAAGATTTTTAAAATTATAGACATTTAGAAAAGATTTACTATGGGAGCTGGGGATTTAGGTCAGTGGTGCCACTGCCTGCCTTGGACGCACAAAGGCCCAAGTTCAATCCCCCATAA